GGGATCAAATTAAGTGCTGCGTGGAAGACCTATGGGGCCGGTTTGATGAGCAGGCACCACCGGGAGAGTAGCGGAGCAGTGGAGGAGGGGTTGCTGCGATATTGTTCTAAGGCAGTGTGAGCTGTAACTGCTGTTTGTGATTAACTTGCTCTTTAAAGTTTTTTTAGTTATTAGCTGCCCTAACCCCATACCCCTCCTCCCCTTCTCTTGCACCTCTTCCTCCTCTGATGCTACACCCCTTCCCTCCTGCCCTCAGCCCCATGGAGACACAAAGTATTCATTCACATTTAGATCCTGAGGTCACAGCAGGGCCAGCAGGGAGAGGCCAGTGTGTCTCCCCATAGACAGGTCAGGAATCTAACACGTAACTCCAACCAGCAGCACTGAGGTACCTTACTCTTCTTTCCTTTAAAAAATGTGTGGAAGAGAGGGAGTGAGAACACAAGTGATAGAAAAAGAGACAGATACACTTTAATTTATTGTGTTTGGCATGGCTAGTGTTTGGGGTGTTCTCTGACATTTTACCATATTGATTGTGATATCCAGTCGTGTATTTTAAAATATTAATGTTTGCATTTTTAATGTAGCTTGTATTTAAAGTTGAGATCCATATAAATGAATTGTAATTACAAAAATAATGACAAAAATTGATTTGCAGGTTATTTAAAAAGCATGTTTTGCACAGCATAACACGTGTCCACATTATAACTTAGCTCTATGCTTTGTAGGGATGCAGACATTATGTTTACTGATGATACCATGTTGTGGTTTATTGGTCGCACATAAACAAAAGGCCCTCTTGTCTCTGGCTTGGTTGTGGGCATGTTTTGTGGTTTTATGAGGTAGCTTGCGAGGATGTAGGGAGGGAGCTTCTGTGTGTGTGTTAAGAGGGGGGTTATGAGGGGTGGGAGTGTTTTTCCTGTGTGTTGTGCTTTAGAAAGGGGGGGTCTTGCGTATGGGGCACAGAGGTGCTGATATGAGGAGCGGACAATGCATGAAAGCCCTCAGCATGGGTCCTGTGTCTCATTGTCCCATGGTACCCTCCTGTCACTTTCATTTTGCACCCTCTAGTCCAGAGTCAGGTCAACTTTGATATAAGGAAGGGGAGCAAAGGATGATGGGGGGAGCAAGAGGGGGATTTTTAAAAGAAGAAGTAGGGGAGAAAGATAGAGTCTGTGAAGTGTGAAATAAGATTGCTTTTTATCCAACAGTGCAGCACTAAAGAAAAGGAAGCTGTCTGGCCCTGGATAAAGTGGGGAAAGCACACCTCTCTGATTTACAGTGCAGTTCTGTGACACCTGGTTAAAATGATAACAACAGCCTCAATAATCATAATGAGAGTAATGAGAGTTTAGACACACAGCTCCAGACAAGAGCCCAGAGAGAAGCAGAGCTCAACCTTGGCTGCCAGTATTCAAGAGTTGGGGAGAGGGAGAAGCTCAGCTCAGCCCCCGCGCTGGTTCTCCAGGACTTAAGAAAGCAAAGAGAGATAGACAAGACGGTGTTGTTGACTAAGATTCTGTATCTGAAACAAAAAGAGCAGCCTGTCACCACTGTTTGAGGAACACTGGAGCCAGTTAGGAATTCTGTACCTGAAGAAAGGCAGTTATCATCTTAGCAGTATATTCAGCTGAGGCCGAGGAAGGGGGAGGAGCCTGACCTAGTGAAAGATATCTAGAGTGACTATTATTACTTGCTTCTGCTCTTCTCTACAGTCTGAGAAGGAATACTGGAAAGTGCAGTGGTTACCATCAATTATTTATTAGGCCGTTTGTGCTTGTCAGTCTGATTAGCATTAGTGTAATCACTGCTCTTCAGGGGAAAGGAAGACTGCTCTCTCATCTGAAGGTAATCTTGGTGTTTTCAGTGTCTCATCTTCACTGGACTCCTCTTGCATAGCATCTGCTTTTGTCATCTCCACATTTTTCTTCTCTTTTCCCCCACCCTGTGTGTTTCTGTCTGTTGCTGCTTGGCCCCTTCCCCCTGCAACTCATAAATGTGTGTGAGCAAGTTTCTCTCTCCTGGCTTGTATAGAGTGACACCTATGGGCCTGATTAAGCCTCTGCACTTACTGGCAAAACAAGAGGGGAAGACTGCAAATCTGCTAGCTGGTGTGTGAGTGTGCTTGTATGTCTGTGTGTGTCTCTCTGCGAGATCCTGGAACAGAGAGCCCATGGACTGTCCCCACTGAGTGACTGGCAGAGCAAAGCTGATATTTTTATGCTCAGAACAGATGAGTGTAATCTCTGTGTCGGCAGTGGGCTTATTCAACTTGCCTGATTAGATTAATGAAACTGTTTCATATCGTTGTATTAGGATGGTTAATGAAGACAATTAATTAGAACACAACCTTCAGGCTATTGTCCTTTACATCTCTGAGATTTGGGTTAAAAATGGCCTGCTGCCATAGCTTTGAGTGTTTCTCCTCATCTACAGTTTTAATGTCTCTTCCATTTGTATCCTACTCTTAGGCCACTCGTGACCTTTCATTAATTATGGTTGGCCTGGCTTTAATCATTGTGTAATACCGTTGGAGATGAGACAAGGAATAGGCAAAGCCATTTGCCACTTAAAGATGTAACACTGCTCCTGGAATTAAATGTCTGAATTTCTGCATAAATTGTGGATGGGGTTCTGTGTTGTGTGCTAAAAATGTCATATACATTGATTAAACATCTAAAAAGATGAGAAAAATATCAGTTGCCATGTGAGCATGTAAAGTATTTGTGCAGGCAGTTGGGGGTGGGTGCAGGGAAGCTGAATAACATTAGAATATTGGCTACCTATCACAATAATATTTAAGCACAAAGTGTGTATTAATGTGTAGATGTATGTCACATAGCCAAGAAATGACACCTTGCCCCATTTTTAAAAGTGAAAAAAATTACCTGGGGATTATTTTGTAATCTGAGCACCGGTGCAGCTGTACAGTATCCTAATTCTCACTCAGTTGTGGAGATTTAGGCAGGCTGAAGTTAGACGGGATTTTGGAACTCAACAGCAGATCTCTGTTTTTGGGGGGATGTTTAAGATGCACCTCATCAGTATGGGGCGGGCTGCAGCGGATGGAATTCATAGGTTTCTTTTGAAACATAACAGAAACCTGGTTAAAAATTAAAGATAAAATGTGTTTGTGTGTTGGATCGAGTAACACGAGTAATATGCCAGTTGCTCCTTTTAACTATCTTTATTTAAATGCAGGACCATGGGATCACAGGATTGGCTTCTAGTAATAATGTGTAACAACACAATCCATACACTTACAGTATCACTCTGCTCAGCTCTTTCCTACAACATTTGTATCAGCAACCAGGAAATGTAGGATGCTGCTTCTGTACTGCCAGTAACACAAAGGTGTTTTCCATTGACTTTTTTTAAACCCAGTAACCCTATATGTATAAGCATGCAGTTGTGTCTGTTGTATTGTACTGATGAGTTTGTAGCTATAGTGTGAATTCAGTCAACCTGTGACAAAGAAGCCAGTTTTAAAAATAGGTAAATATGTTGTAGACACTCTTAAATATGTAAACATTTTCTTTAAGCTAGTGAGAAAAAAAGACGGCAAAGAAAAAAAAACAATTTCCTTGAATGTATTTTTTATTTAGAAACATGACTTATTTGCATAAGGCATCTTTATTTGCACCTTCAGCAGAGAAATGGTGATGTTTTTGAATATTCTATTTAAGAACTTTCATTCTGAAAAGGGACTGTGAGAATAGCCATGTGGTTCAGAGATGTATGAGTGTTCAAAGTGTACAACACAGACCAGAGTTTGAGAAGACAATATTGACTCTACATACAGTGTATTCAATGTTTCATAACTGACAGGATAAACTGTGAGTGTTGGAGATAATGTAACATCATAAAAGTGGTTTTGGCTGTGGGTAGTCATGTGGTGAGCTAAGATTGGATGTGTGATGACTGCAGGGCTGAATACTTGAACAGGATATTTCAGTAGCTGTTGTAGCATTGTCAATATATCAATAGCTCATAGAGTAGACCTGAGCATGAAAGCATTTTCAAAAGAGCATTTAAGTACATTTGCTGAGAATTAGCTGACTTGTGTAATAACTGATAGGGCCTATTGACTGTGGCCTAGTTTACTGTTGTCAAATCAATGCTCTTGCATGCAAGTCCCACTACTTTTAAACAAACTTAACAGGCAGAGGGGATGTTCAGGGGGCACTGGAGGGAAATAAAGAAGATTGATGCCCTTTTTATTATCTGTTTTTGCTATCTTTTCCTCTGTGTGTTACTTACAAATGGCATTATCGGATATCCATTGTTTGGACTTCGATGTTTCTAAATGGCCTGATATATTGAGCTGAGGCTTTTAAGGTGGTTACAGGGGATTTCTGCCTTTGACTTGGCATAAAAATAAAATGAATTGTGGCTCTGAAAGTTTTAAATATTTATGGGTTGGTTTTTTTTTGCAATAGTAGGATAGAAGAAGTGAAATGAGGCTTGTATTGGTAAGTAATCTAGCAGATTGCAGCAGGAGACAGTAATGTATATGTGTGTTTGTGATCATGTGTGTGAGAAAGAGACTGAGGGCTTGTGTAGTATGAAATATTTCTCTTGAAGGATACTGCTCGCACAATTATTTTTCCATCTGCCCACTTCAAAGCACATGTGCTTTTTTCCGCATGTCCACATTAAACAGAGGAAGCCATATATGTGTCACTGTTTTGAATACATGGAGAAATATAATGACCTCTCGACAGAATATACAGTACAAATAAAATAAATATTTGCTTTTTTTCCCTATAATTCAGCTCTGATTTCATAATTTCTGTCAAAATCACAGTGATGATCACACAGCACGGGACCAAGACCTGAAAGCAGATTCTGCCCTCTTTGTCTGCTAGCCTTGCAACGGTGTGTCAGCAAATGTAATTGTTGCAAGCTCCTATAGAAAAAACCGCTACCGTCCCTTTAAGTGCTTCCACCAATTCTGATGGCGTGGTGATTTACATATCCCGTCCTCCCTCCCCCTTCAGGAGAGCTGAGCGAGGATGTGGAGGCTGCTAGTGAGACTACCACAGACCAGGAGGACCAAACCAAAGACAGAGAAAGTGGGGGGGAGAAGGAGCTCACCAAAGGGACAGGTAAGACCAGAATTTACAGCGCACACATTTAGGTGATACTATGCACAGGAAACATGTGGCCCTGCACCTGAAGGGTGCTGAGCAACAGGCCTTTTGTACAATTAAACTAATTGTTTTAACAAAATACTGAAAGCTTTTTAAGCATTAAAACTCTCTCTTTCCAAACTCCCTAAATCCAGTTCTAGATTTCAAAGGCAGCTTTTTCCTGCTGCAGGTTTCCAGACATTAAATCCCACCAGATACAGTTAGAATAAACTCTTAATTTAAGTAATATGTTCAGGTGACATGTACAAACTCATGCTCAGCTGGTGATGTGAAGAGAGGGACCCCCCCCCCCCCCCCCCCCCCAAGACCCCTCTGGTGGGCAGACTTGAATTTCTAAAGAGCATTTTGAGTTATTTAGAAATCAGGATGTAGGATGTTTCCAGTTTGTAATGATTCAGCACTGACAGTGTTGACGAGTAGAGAACAGTTTGAACATTTGTTCAAACAGTGCAATGAGATGTAAATACATTTTATCCTTTACTGTTTTAGGTGTAGTCAGAAAGTCCAAATTTAAGATTTGTTTACAACAAACAATATAATATATAATGCAATACTGTCTGTATGAAAAGCCCGTATTGGATTTTTTTTTTAGCTCTCAGGTATTAAACTCAATTTTTGGTGGAATGTGACTTTTGTGTTATTTTGTATCACATACACAGTGTCAGTTTAATCATTTTTGCAAAGTAGTTTGAACTACTTTTCCTAAGTATCTTTAGTTAAGCAAACTAGATTTCTCCCTAGGGTAGCTTTGCTGCACTTCAACTTCTTTCAGATTGAAGTAACTGGTAGCTTACAAAGCTTTGATTTAAAGTAGCTTCCCCAACACTGAGCATACAATGACACACTTGAGTTCATGGTAGCATTCATGTGTGGATTTTCTTTCTTTTTGTAGGGTCAATAACGACAGTCACTGTACTATATGGAAAACATGAACAGTTTCAATCACTAAACCCTCAACTTTGATGCTATTTTGGTGTTGGTCAGCTCTGTTTTAACAGGAGTTGTTACAGTGAGAAGCTGACACTGATGATAGTTGATGGTGATAAGTGAGGTTCTTGTAGTATTTGTGGTTCTATTGCTTGTGCTACTGTAAAAGAAGTGTTTAAGCAAGGACAATTTTAGTGATAGTATTAAAAATAAGTATATAATCTTCATAGTAACACTGATCTGCTCTGTGTGGAGCCAGTGTTAAAGAACAGAAATGTCTTCCACAGAATGGCAAACGTGAAGATGCAGCCTCTTCTGGCTGTGACACACCAAGCCAGTGGTCGGCCATTGGCCACTATCTGGCCATTAGTGAGCGTCTGTCAGGGCTCGTCTTCCTGGTGTGTCCTGCACCTTTGGCACTAATCGGACCCTGCCAGCGACCTTTCTGTCGATTCAACATGTTGAATTGGCGTCAGGCCTCGTCGGTGAGAGAGGCCACACTGATTGGCTGTTCAGCTTAGTGAATCAGTGCACAAGAAGAGAACAGTTCAGGAAAGTTCCTTCAGACTGTTCCTGTAGTATCCATGATTTCATGCATTTAGTGCAGTTTTTCCTTGTTTTTTGCCTCCGCAACCTCCTTTCTTCTTCCATAAAATGCCAGTGCCATTTGCAAACCAGACATATTCTCAATTAGAAGCAGCTATAAACAGCAGCCAGGTTGAATGAGAGTAGATTTGTTTACAGCTTGTATTTCTACTGTTTAGCTCTTCTTCTTTCCCTTGTCTGACTGGCAAATACAGATATCACCACCTGATGGTAGGGGGTTATTTCTCTCACACAGGCTTAGAGCGTACATGCTAGTCACCCAAGTGACTGTACAAGTGGCACTCTTTCAATCTGATTGGCCCAGACAAAGGTAATGTGAGGTGACCAAGCATCAACCTCCGAGGATGAGAAATGAAGCCAATGCGGATGTACCAAAATCTGCAGTTCCTCAAATGCTAACTTGAGGCCGGCTCCAAAAGGGAGTCAGTCCCCATAGACTCCCATGTTAAAATGCCCAATGTACAGCAGAAAGAAACATGTTTACAGCCTGGTACAAAAAAAATTGTTTTTGCTCTATATAGCTAATTTCTTGTGCCATGACAACTGCACGGGGTGGTGAATTGTTTTTTATAACTCGCCTGTTTAATTTATATTGAGATTAAAAGTAAGTATGCATTGAGACTAAATGCATAACTAAGGGCACAGCCACTGTGAGTGACTGGTGGGAGGGTCCCGCCACTGGTAGCTAGCTTGATTTTGCCCATTTAGCTCACCTCAGCTCCACTCACACTGCGCCTCTTTATCCTTTTTTTTGGATTATATGTAGTAGGTGGAGTGAAGCACTATCACGATGGCAACAGCCAGACTTCAGCATTAAAACCACTCTTCAGAAAACCAACAGGTGATGTCACAGTGAGTTTGTCCAGCTTTTATATACAGTGGTGGCAGCACAGCAGTCGGCCTATGTCACAGCTAATTCTTTCACTTGGGCTTGGTGTGTCTCTGGCCTTACGGTGCTTAACCACAGACCACTATGGTCACCTTCAAACTGCGTGTGCGGACACACTGTGTCTCCTTGACATGACTGAAACATGGTCTCAAACACAAGTTTAATGAAGTGCAAGTTTAAAGCAAGAGGCTAAAAATGATTTTGTTCCACACACTGTATGGAGGATGTGCATCACTGCATCTAATTATGTAATGCTCTGTTTACTGATTGTATTCAAATTTCCTAGATGTCAGTAAATGAAATATAGTTTCATTTTGCCTTTTTATGCACAATTTACTTTGTATGCCTGTGTTAGAAAAACAATGCTGGCAGTTAGGATATCTCTTATTCAATAGAAGAGATTTCTGATAATGATGACATTGAACACTAACAGGCCTGGAAAGATGCTTCTCACTTGTCTAACTTCTTGTGTTACTGCAGGATGTTTTGATTTACACTAGTCAGGTTAAAAGCTGGAAAACAATTCAGACCTTTTGCTTACCTAAGTTTTTTTTAAGTGCAGCAAAAAAAAAAAAAACATCACAGTGTTTGAAGCCCAGCCTTTGTAAAATGTCTTTGATATTCGAACTTCTATTTTAAATGAGGCTGAGTTGTTTGCGCTCTTTGAAAGGGCGACACTCTTCTTTGATGGAAGAAATAATGATATGCATGCCTGACTGAATATGGCTAAAAGTATGTTTTAGCACATCAAAATAAAGCACTTTAAAAAGCATTAAAATGAGCTGGCCGATTAATAATTCACTCATACCTGTGGTGCACAGGAAGACGACTCCTCGCATTAGGATTCCTCTTTTTTGAAAGGCATGCAATTTGATACAAGCATATTCAGTTCCTTTCCTCCCCTCTGTCAGCCGCTAATCACCAAATAAGTGTGTTTCTATGTTTTCACAAAGGAAATATGTGCCTGCATATGAAAAATTTACAGCTTTCCAGCAGCTTATTAGGAACACTTAGTTAAAAATAGGATGTGCATTAGGGAACTAGGTCTGAGGTTCTGTTTGATGTCAGTGAAAAGGTGGGTGGGAAGGTTGGGGTGATGGGTTCAAGGCAGTGCTGTCAGCAAAAAGTAGACAGCTGTAGTTTAATGGAAGGGTCCCCTTTTCTTCTCCAAACTTTTTGCGATTGATGAATACAGTGCCCATTCAGAGCCAGTGCAATCTTGTAGGAAGAAAAGAAAGGATGGCCTCACAATGCATTTGGTAAACAGAGGACCACTTGTTTGAGTTGGTGATACACAGATGCTATGTAGGCTAGAATATGGTGCATAAGTGTCTTGGCCAACCTGTTATTTACCTGAAAGGTGCTCAGTCTCCCGTTGTCTGAGGCTGAGCTGTTTCTAAGGTCCATCATTAGAACTACTGAAGTATTTCTTCTCATCATTGTCATGTAGCTGTTGGAACAGAGCACAACATTGTTCCTTTACAAATGACAGTCACTGTCAGACAGACAGCATTAGCGAACACAGAAAAAAGGCTTCCTTCTTTATAAAGACACTGTCAGTCTTATCTTCTCTTTCTTGTTCTGCAGCTCCTCAGTATTCATTAAAATCATTTAGAGGTACATCAGAAGCCTTTGTAAAATGCATATGTATTCGGCATGTCAAATCTTGAAAGATGCCTTCATTATTCAGTTGTTTTTATTTATCTCAAAGTTAATACATACATGTACATGTTCAGGCTTTCAGACATATGTAAATGTCATATGCTCGCATCACTGCAGGCAATATATGTTGCAACCTTCTGTGATTATACTGTGCTGTATATGAGTATCCTGAGAGAAAAAAAATCAATTAAAACTAAAATAATTATGAGCAAAATATGAAAAATCTTAATGTATATGGACAATATGTTCATGTTGGAGTTAGCTGCAATTTAATCATCTTGCATCATTAGTAATTCAAAGGGTCATTTTTAAGGCTAGGTATGAAATATGTATAAATTGGTAGCCATGAGCCTCTTTCCTCTCTACTCACACCTTCTTCACCCAGCTGAGACAGTGCTGGCAAAAAGGGAAGGGTTTCTGCATAGAAACTGGTTCTTTACCTTCATTAAAGCAGGTGGTGTATTTATACGGTAGCTGAATGTATGTGGATGCAGAGAGGAGAGAGACAGGAGGGTAGCAATTGTATGGGAAGGGAAGGTGAAGAAAGCAGAACAAAGAGGATGGAAGGGGAATTGTTAATACATCTACAAGCTCGGACACAATGTGATTTGACATATTTAACATAAATGTATGGGAAACGTTGAAGTGTAATTTGGGTGAGCTATGTAGGGAGATGGGATCGAGGGAGGGCGAAATAGTCTCTCCATTCTGTGGCTGGGATGATGGTAGTCCTCTGAAATGGAGCTTGATAAATAATTCTTTTTATACCTCTTTCCTTACATTCAATTTATGGGAACAGGAGCAAGAGGGGTGAAAAATTATATTTCAGCCTGGGTAATCCAGGGTCATTTTCAGATGAGTAAAACCTTTGGAGATCAGACTCCTAAGTAGACAACACAAGGTAAAAGTAACGCAGTATTTCATTGATATTCCATAACCCGCAATTTGAAAAATCCCGGCTTATTCAGATAATAGACTACTAGTTTCAAATACAGTACGTTTTTAATACTCAGATGTGCCCATTTGCCTGGCTGATCATACATACAGCCCTTGGTGTTATTTGTCTGTGGTAGTTGGGGCTTAAATTGTTTTGTTTAGTGTGTGGGAGTATTTTGACATAATTTTGTTAAGCACCAATTAAAGGTGATGTGCAGGTTCCAGTTTACTGTAGCATTCGATTAAACACTGCACTGTTTCCACACTGCCTGTGTACAAATAGTGCATATTACTATATAGTAATTTCCAACTTAACTATGCCTAAAAATGCTGCTTTTACTTCTCACTTATTGGGCTTGATAAATCAAATCTATATTTATACATAATGAAACCTTTGTGCATTTTAGACTGAACGCCCACAGCAGAAGAGTTGTTTTGATTGTTGTGGTGAGGGGCAAAGCATGCACAGGTACTGTACAAGTGTAAGAACAAACTGTAATGAGATAGTAACAAGTTGTGATTTGTTAAAAACAGACATCTTCCAACAGATGTTGAGTGGTGATATGAATATGAACTCATCAGTGTGGTTTGCACCTTTCTCTGCTGATACTTCAGACCTGTGCTGTGTCTTTCTGTCATCCCAGCTAAAAAGTTTGCTTCAAACTTTTTTCAGTTGGATGTTGAGGCAGAACCTGTGAAGCTGTTCATCGTGCACATGTGCACATTCAGGTGTACTGTGTGCAGGGGAAAGTGATGCAGTATTGCACAATGAAGCTGTTGCAATTAATCTGTGTAATAAACATGATGATTAGCATCCCCTAGATGCAGCACCACGGCATTGCAATCGTTTTTTACTGTGCTGTTAGTCCTCTGGTGTTGCTCACTCAGAAATAAACATACCAGGTGTTGTGAATTGTTCTCCATAGAGCTGTGCAGATAGGTAGATTTAATATTAGCTGCAGTTGAAGTTAAAATTGCACGCTTATGGTTAGTTAGAATCAAATTATTCAAGTTTATGCCATTGTTCCTCTAAATTGGGAGACATTCAGTGCAGTGGTGATTTGTTTTTTGCATTTAAACCCTAAGTAGTATGAGAAATCAAGAGACAGAGCAGTGAAAATGTTTACATATTCATATCATGTCCTTCTGAGTGCTTGTCATCCCTCAAATTATAATTCCTTTTGTCTTTGAAGATAATAGACCATAAATTGTCCTTGTTTGTGAGCCAACTGAGTGAGTGTGAGCTCAGTGTTTATGAGTCTTACCACCGGGTGTGTTATTGGCGAGCATCAGTGCTGTCTCTGAGTGTCCTGTAAAGGTGAACGCCATGTCATCCTGCAGTTCAGTGGTCTGGAGATTAATAAAGCATCTGCTAATTAATCTCTCATATTGATTTTTTTTCATCTTGGATGAAATGTCATTAGACTGCAAAAGAATGACACTAGCTCACTCCATGTTGTATGATAGTTGCATTTTTTTTCTATAAATGCAGGTTTTGAACTTCATAAGTAATAGGAAATTATTTCATATGAGGCTTCAGTTTTAGTTTTAGCCCTTTATTGCTTTGAGTTGTGACACTGCCTGGAGATTAAAAGCCTGGATAAAAATGGGAAAAAGAGAAGACAACATTCAGGTATTGTTAGCATAACATTAAAAGAAAATTACTTTTGAAGCACTGTGGGAGTTGAGTCATCTCTATGTTAATGGTCAACTTGTAGAGAGAATAGAAGTGAGGATTTTCTACCATGCATGAAGCAGAGGGGTGTCGGAAGCCTTCAGTAGTGTGAAGGTGAAAGGGTTTAAGGAGCTGCGGATGAGACGACAGACTTTTCAGAAGATGCTTCTTCAGTATAGCTATGCAGAAGAATTGCGGAGTTTAAAGTTATTGGCAGCCTGCGACTGTTCTGGGTGAGGTGAAAATAAAGCTATGCAGCCTGGGCGATGTGGACAATGGCTGGATGAAAAGTTTTTGTTTCATTTTTTACAAATGGAGGCCTAAAGCTGTCATGGCAAGACGGTAAATGTGGTAATGAGGGGGCAGTAGGAGGGAATTCCACTCCAAAACACCAGGATTTCCCTCTGTTTTCCACTTCGTTACATATTCTGTGCTGTAACTTGCATTTTGGAATATGAACACCATCTCCCAAGGATAAAATGCATTAATGACAGCTGTGCTTGCACTACTGGAAGATTTCAATGGCAGATGACCTGTTGTGGTTAGTTCATGTTGGTGCTGTGTCAGTCACTCTGTCCAGCAGCCATCTTTTTTCCCTGTGAAAGCACAACAAGGCTGTGATTGCTCCAGAGACTAGTGCAGCGTGCTGACAGCCCCTTTGCTGCTTAAATAATACAGTCCAGCTATGGGAGGTGAGACAAGGTGCCAAAGTCCAATTCACTTACGGGACTCAACAGCACAAAAGCCTTGGGTTTACGAAAAAGGGGCATGAATTAATAATCACCTAATTGACTCTTAGGATTTTTTCTTCACTCCAGTTCTGCCTTTTGTGCTTTCAAACAAAAGTCCACCCTTTGTATCTGTCAGAAGAGGTTTGGTGGGGATGGGGCCTCTGTGTCTAATGACCAGGCAGAAGAGGTCAGAGGAACAGACAGACTCCTGACAGACACTAAGGTCACTGGTGGTGGAGGAGCCCATTGTGGTTTCTGTGGATGATTACACGTGAATCCAACAAGGACGGTTAATCTAACCAACCACTGAGGTTTAAATGTAGAAAAATGCTGTAGTTTTAGTTTTTAAGGCAGCATCACTCTGCTATAATCATTCAGTGCCTGGTGATGAAAAAGGAGCTGTGAGATTAACATGACTGGAGAGACTGCAGAATTATATATTT